TATTTTTTTTACTTGTAAGTATGTGAAATACAAATTGTGTTTCTATGTATCAAGTTCCTTTGTTTTGAAATATTCTAATTTTATCAATGCTAGTTATGTCAACACATTAACATGTTTTTGGTAAAATTAAGGATAGGTATGTCTACACACACGCGCGCACAATAGATAGTTAGAAATTTTATTTGAAATTTTCATCGCAACAGTATTTCGAATTATTAATCTTGTTACAATAGTGTTTCATATGAAAAAATTAAATTATTAGACACTTTTCCATACAAAGAAAACTGTTTTGGAAAACAATTCCAAAACCTTTTTTGTTTGAGAATAAAGATTGTAGAGTGATCATTGACTGTATAGAATTTCCAATTCCAAAACCCAGCAGTTCTTTACAGCAACAAATGACATTTAGTCATTACAAAAATTGTAATACTTTAAATGGTATAATAGGTATTATGCCTTCAGTAGCTATCTGCTTTGTATCACATTTACATTGTGGCAGAATTTCGGAACTTTTTCTTCGAAGTAAACCAATGGGTCTTTTTGAACCAAATGATGCTGATATAGCTGATAAAGGTTTCTTAATTGAAGAAGAGTTAGACAAAATTGGTTGTAACTGAAAAAGCCCTCTTTGTTTAAAAGATAAAATTCAATTTCATGATTCTGAAACTGTTAACAACTGCAAATTGTCTAACAAACGAGTTACTGCGGAAAGAGCTGTGTTTCAAGAATCAATCAATATAAATATTTTGAAGGTGCTCTTCCATGTAAAAGTTTACACAATGTTGACAGTTTATTAGTTATAACATGTGTAATTTTCATAAACCTTTAACAAATGTAACATAAGAAAGCTCTAATTATGTTTCACTTTAGCTATATAACGGGTGAACATGAATTTAGATAAAAGTATCAACACAGGATATTTTCTTCCCCACCACGCTGTAGTGCGCGAACAAAAGGATAGTACAAAGGTTAGAATAGTTTTCGAGATGCATCATCAAAAGGTAAAGGCGTGTTATCACATTAAACGATTGCTTAGAAAGCGGACCAAATTTAAATCCCGATTTACTCAAAATCATATTACGGTTCAGACTACACAAAATTGTATTTTGTGCAGATATTCAGCACGCTTTCTTAGAAATAGGAATCGTCGAGGAAGATAGGCAAATTTTAAAATTTTTATGGATAAAGAAAAGGGGGCCTAATCTCGATCTCAGCACTCATAATGTAGAAACTTTTCGCTATACGCGAGGGGCGTTTGGTTTCAAATGCAGTCCATTCTTACTTGTCGCTGTCATAAGACGGCATATAGAAAAATACATTAATAAGTACAAGAGAGCGTGTGAAATGCTCAACGAACTCTATGTTTACGACCTAATTAATAGTACTTCCGATGCAACAGAAGCCCTACAGTTTAGTGAAGAAATGATTGATATACTTGGTGAAGCGGGGATGAATCTTCGTAGATGGGCTACAAATTCCTCAACGTTACACGAGGCTTGGAAACGTGCAAATATCAATTGTCGGAAACATCACAAGAATCAGGTATACCGTTGAAGATACTTGGAATAATCTGGGACAATGTGAATGACAATTTAAAGTTTGATATTAAACAATTCGAGAAGTTGAATAATCTTGTGAAAGTAACAAGAAGAGTCATTTTGTCTGCTAGTGGTATGCTTTTTGATCCAATAGGTGTAATGAACCCTTTTACTAATAGGATGAATCTATTGATACAAGGGATGGGGGAATTGGGCCCCTCATGGGATGAATGCGTTTCTAATGATATTAAAGCCACATTTACAGAATGGATAAATGAAATAGAAATTTTAAATCAGTGTGTTGAAAATTTCTAGGCTATATTTCAGTGAGATAAATTGGGAATCAATAGAGCTTCATTTATTTTCAGACGCATGTCCTAAGTGCTATCGTGTGTTCTGTGGCTTATTTTCTATTAAAACATACGGATAAATATTTCACTAGCTTCATTATGTCAAAATCTCGTTTGGCTCCTTTAAAGAAACTCATGCTGCTTAGATTAGAATTATTAGGTGCTTTTTTTTATTTCAGCAAGATTGGGACATTATTTACAAAATAATCTTCTATTAGAGTAACTCTCAAATATGCATCCACTGGATTAAAGGGAAAGGCCGATTATTGGAAGCCGTTTGTGAGATACCGCGTATCGGAAATTAAGGAGAAAACGGATCCGAACAGATGACATCATTGTGTTGGAAAGAGCAATCCAGCTGACAAATTAACTAGGGGAATGAATTTTAAAGCTCTTGTGAAGGATGAGATTTGGATAAAAGGACCATCGTGGCTTTCAGAGCCCAATATCCAGTACAACAATTTAAGGGATCCAATTGACACCGATTTAGACTCAATTAAAAAAGAAAAACGAAAGGTTTCTGTGTCTTTACTAACGAACGTTGCACCTTTGCAGACTTTGTTAAATCTTCATAGTTACACTAATTTAAACAAGGTTTTTTTTATTAGGATAACATCCTGTCTTAAGATTTGTAAACAATTGTAAGTATAATGCGGAAAAGATCACAGGTAATTTGAAGGTTGATGAATTATTTAACGCAGAAAAATATTGGGTTCGTTGCGTTCAGTTAACATATTTCAAAATAGAATACGAAGAAGTAAAGCAACATAAATCTGTATCGCGACATTCTAAACTTTTCTGTCTGAATCCTGTAATGACTAAAGATGGACTCTTGTGCTTAGGTGGACGATTGCAAAAATCTAACTTCAACTTTTACGAAAAACACCCACTTATTCTCCCTTCTAAATCGAGATTTTTGGACCTCCTGATAGTGAGGGAACATCAGAGGCTGCATCATGCTGGTGTACGTGAAAATCTAACGCAAATTAGAGAGACTTATTGGATTTTTTGTGGCAGACAAACAGTTAAATCTTGTTTGAAAAAATGTCTAAATTGCCGGAGATTCAAAGTTAGACCTGGGAACCAGATAACTGCTCCATTGCCAGAAAATAGAATCCAAGCAGAATTTCCATTCGAAACTGTAGGTATAGATTTTGTTGGGCCTATTTACACAAAGAACGATGAAAAGGTGTACATTTCCTTGTTTACTTGTGCAGTCACTCGTGCCCTTCATCTTGAAGTTGTGTCCTCTTTGAGCACTGAACATTTTTATTAGCTTTCCGCAGGTTCATTACTAGATAAGGAATTTGTCTTACAATGAACTCGGACAATGCAAGGACTTTAAAAAGTGCGGACTGTGAACTCAAAAGACTCTACATGAATATTTGCGAACCAGATGTACAAAATTATTTTGGTGAAAAAGGTATAAAATGGCAGTACATTGTTGCGCGTGCTGCATGGTGGGGAGGTTACTGGGAGCGAATGGTTCAAACAACAAAAATTGCATTAAGGAAAATTTTGGGAAGGGCATTAATTTCATTTGAAGAACTACAAACGATTTGGGCTGAAGTAGAAGCAATAATAAATTCGCGTCCATTAACATCTGTTTATAATGAACCTAATGAACCATTCCCTTTCACTCCTTCCAACTTTTTAACTGGAAGAAGAGTAACTGCCTTATCTAATTGGTCAGGCAAGAGAAATATTGAATTATTTAAAGGCAAAAAAGAATTAACTATAAGATATCTTTATCGTGAGAGGTTACTTAATATTTTTTGGAAAAGATGGAAAAAAGAGTATCTTCTTCAGGTAAAAAGTGCTAATTTAAACAGAAATGTAAATCTAAAAACTCAATTTAATGTAAATGATATAGTATTGTTAGGTGAAAAGAAGGTTCCTCGGCAATTGTGGAGACTTGGAAAGATCATTGAGATCCACAAGGGACGAGACGATAAAGTAAGGTCTGCCACCATTAGAACATCAACAGGTATTATGAAAAACGTCCTGTACAATTACTATGTAATCTTGAAATAGTGAATAATGAGTAAATTTCTTCTTTGATTAATATTTCCTTATTATTATTTTCTTGTGAATTGTATTGTATAATTTGGTAATCAATTATTTTGAATATGCTTTGGAATTCATTGTATTCTTAACCTTGGATTTATTGGATTTGAATTTTTGTTTATATTGTATATTGAATTTTTGTATTGAAATATTGTGGATGAATTTCTTCATCGAGGTGGGAGGATGTGGTGGTCTGCTTCTGAGTAATCCCTGTGGGGAAATATGTGTGAAGCTTCCCTAACCAATGGGGGGATTCAGTCAGTCTGTAAACAACTTTGGCCGATAACGGAACCCCCGAAATCAGTGGGTGTGCCTACCCACAAAAATAGCAGCTTTCAATTTATATTTAATTGTTTGTGAGTCATGTATGTCGTCATAATAAATGTTACAAAAAACCTGAAAACAAGGGCTGACATCTTGAATACGCGTCAGGAGCTCCTTGTTTTTTTTTTTTTGAGCCAAGCCTGACTAGTAGCATCAGCGGCCATCAGAAGTTATTCTTTGAAAAAATTGATCGAACTTTAATAAATAGCACATATAATACACACAAACCTCAGTAATCATTAAAGGGAAAGAAATATTTCGATTTTTTTAATTATTATTTTCCACCTTTTCAAAAATTATTAGTATTAAATCAGCTTTAAACTATGAAAATACAGGAATGTCACATCAGTGTATTAAAAAAACATTAAAAATACAGAATAATATCAACACATTCAAGAAAATATTGGGAACAAAAGTATTATAAAAAAACAAATTAAGTCACTTCCTACTTAGGTCAACAAAGAAAAATTTTATTCTAGTTACTTTTTATTAAATAGTTGGAATTAATATAAATATGTATATACATATGACACACACACACACAGTAACACAATATTAAGTGACAAAATAGAAAATGATTATTCTTGCAATTTTACATTTTCCTTTCTATATAGGGTATTGGACTAATATTTTTGTTTGTTACTCTTTATTCATGTATTAAATTTAATTATTGTAATAAAATAGTATAGTAAAAAAGAAATCACATTCTCAAAAATTAGGCCATCTCAGGTGGGATTGGAACCCATGACTTTTGGATTAGAAGTTCAACTTGCTATCCATTGCATTACAGGGACACAATGAACAATTTGCTTTTCTATATATACTGTTTAACTACTAATTTTGTTAGTTGCTACTTATTCATTTTTTAATTTAATTCGCGAATTAATATTTGAAAAAACTGTATTAACATCAAGTGTCATCCACTACAACTTTAAAAAAATGTATTTGATCATCAGTGGATGAATAGAAAGTATTTTATTAATGATTAAAAATTTGAACGAGGGATATATATATAAACACATAAATATATATACATAAATATATAAATACATATATATATACATACATAAATACATATACATACATAAATATATATACATATAAATATATATACATATATATGCATATATACATATATATACATATATAAATATATATACATATATATGCATATATACATATATATATATATATATATATATATATATATATATATATATATAAATATATATACATATATATACATACATAAATACATATACATACATAAATATATATACATACATAAATATATACATACATAAATACATAAATACATAAATAATATACATACATAAATACATAAATATACATACATCCATGCATACATACATCTTTATATATAAGAATCTCTCTTCTGTGGGTGTATATGTGACTAAACTCCTACTAAACGGCTGGACCGATTTTGATGAAATTTTTTGTGTGGGTTCAAGTGGATTCGAAAATGGTTAGATTTACAACTCAATCCGATATCGCAATTAGTTAAAAAGATATTAATTAAAAACATTCAACTGAATATTCACCTGCATTGTTGTAACAAGGTTGTTCTTTAAAAATGACGTAAGTTTGCGTCGAAAATCAAGTTTCAGCCCAATTGACCAAACCGGGTCTTCATTGTTACAAAAATGGAGACGAATCATGCTTTTTGCAGTTTTTCATTAACATATTTTCAAGTAATCTTTGCGCTACGATCGTAGTATCGAAAATATTCAAAATTATTTTATTATAATTCCAGTTTGTCCCGATAGTTTGGTGCTGCGATCAAATTTAGTAAAATATTTTGTCACTACGTGTTATTATTTTGTTGAAATAAATCATGTGTTAGTTAAATTATTACATTAAGATGTAATTAGTGTTTGAAAAACTTTGAAGTGTGCATAGAAAACTATACATTCTGCCAATTTATTAAATTTACACGTGCGCTCATCAGCAATTATCCTAATCTACAAATCTATTTGTATAACTAATTGGTTACACACATTATTAAACTTTTTTTTTTATTTAAAATTATTTCTTATCGGAAATCTATACTACAAAAAGAATCAAGACGCTTTCTAACAAACTGCAAATTGACAACTGCGTCATTGTCATTAAATCATACAAAGTGCCTTGCGGAGAGCACGCAGGCACATATAATGTTCCAGCTATTAATGAAGTTGCAGTTGTTATGACTGGTGACCCAACTGAACGTCGAGATATACGTACACAACGCAGAGATAATACGTTGAAAACAATTCAAGACAATCATCGTTCTTACGATGCACAGCATTATTCGTTGATATTTTGGGAAAGAGAAGATAGATATAATTTAAATATTAAACAAAGGAATCCAACTACAGGTGAAGAACTGATCAAGAAAGTTAGCGCAATGAACTTCTACGCATACCGGTTGCTGATTGTGCTAATGAAGATAATAACATTCTCCGATGCCGACAGCTATTTCATGAGTACTTTGTAGATATGTATGCAAAAGTTGAAAGTGAGAGGTTACGATACATAAAATTTAATCAAGCAAAACTTCGTTCTGAGGAGTACATTCATTTGCATGATGCTATAATCGGTAATGTAGATGCAACAAATGACACCAGCAACATTGGCTCGGCATATATTCTTTTATCATCATACTCTGGTAGTCCGCGTCATATGCATGAATATATTCAAGATGCCACGACGAAAGTACGTGCATACGGCCGGCCAGATCTTTTCATCACATTTAAGTATAATCAAAATTGGGATTAAATTAAAAATTTCCTGTTCGAAAGAGATCCGAAAAGAGATTAAGGTATACTAATGTTCCTAAATATTTTACATGGAATACGCAATCGAAAAACCGGGAGCCATGTAAACGAGGCATATTTGAGGCACAAATACTTTGGGCCGATTATATACAATTAATCCTAAGCAATGCTAATGGTTTTTTCTGCGTTTGTTATTGGTTAAGGTTCCTGGTCCGACATCGTTCCAATATTTGCGGAAAGTCAATGAAACTTTATACGATACTTCCTTCGATGCGTGTCGTGATTTACATTTATTAGAAGATGATACCCTTTGGGATCTCACACTTGCAAATGCATCACTGAACTCAACTCCTCAGCAAATTCGTCAATTTTTTTAATGACATTAAAAGCGTGTCTTTCGTCTCAAGCACCATCTCTCTGTGGAACAAATATAAAGACTCAATGAGTGAGAATATTTTGCATCGGATTAAAATTACTAACCAAAATCTCTATATTGAATTTTCAGCCAAAATATATAATGAAGCATTAATAATGATTGACGATATTTGTATTCTTATTTCAAATATGCCGCTCATCCATTTTGGCATGCCAGCGCCGAACCGCCCAGCAATCATCAACAGCAATGTTCAACGTGAACACCAGTTGTATATGACTTCTTTAACTACTTTTGTTGTTGATAATGAACAATTGCTCACTGCTGAACAACGAAATGTACATGATAAAATCTACGTATCTATTGCAGCTCGATAAGGTGGATTATTTTTTAGGATGTGCTAAGTGGCCCAGGCAAAACATTCCTCATCTCACTGATACTTGCACGCATTCGATCACAAAATCATATTGCATTGGCAATTGATTCATGAGGGATTGCAGCAACTTTATTTCATGGTGGACGCACAGCGCATTCAGCACTTGAAGTACCTTTAAATGTCCATACAGTTCCCGACGCAATGTGTAATATGAAGAAGCATTCAGGCATGGCTGAAATTTTGAAAAATGCAAATTTATTATCTGGTAAGCTCTCCACAGGTTCCTGAAAGATATCAAAAATAATACTAGACTTTTCGGTGGTGCTCTACTTTTGCTGTCTGGTGAATTCGGACAAACATTCCCCGTGCGACATATGTGGATGAAATAAAAGCATGATTGAAAGAATCTTATCTATGGCGAAGTGTTAGTAAGTTACGCTTTACAATTAATATGCGTGTTAAACTTCAAAAAGATCCATTAGCGTCAAGGCTCTCTGAACAATTGCTAGATATTGGCAATGGTTGAATTCCATTAAATGATGATACACAATATATTCAACTCCCAGAAAATTTTTGCAACATTGTGGCCCCCAAAGATGAATTAATAAAATTCTCTTTTCAGATTTGCAACAAAATTATACTTATCATACATGGCTACGTGAGCGAGCTATTTTAATGGTAAAAAATTTAGATGTTAACGCCATCAATTTCAAAATACAACAACCGTTGCCTGGTAATGAAATTACATTCAAATCGATTGACACTTCTGTTGATCCTGATGAAGTAATCAATTATCCTGTAGAGTTTTTAAATTCACTGGATTTACGGGGAATACCACCCCATAATATGCGATTGAAGATTGACTCACATATAATTTTGCTTCGAAATTTGAACGCACCAAAATTGTGTAATGGCACGCGATTAGTCATAAAAAAAATCATGGACAACATTCTTGAAGCCACTATTTTAAGTGGAAAATGTCAAGGTGAAGCTGTATTTCTACCACGGATCCCAATGATTCCTTCAGATTCACCTATACCATTCAAACGTTTACACATTCCAATTCGCTTGGCATTTGCTATGACTATTAATAAGTCACAAGGTCAAACAATGAAGATTTGTTGCTTAAATTTAGAAAATACATGCTTTTCTCACGACTAATTATATGTTGCGTGTTGCAGAGTTGGAAAACCATCGAATTTATTTGTTATTACAGCTCAAGCATTAACCAAAAATATTTTACATGCAATGGCATTACGATAAACTAAGTTTTTGTACAATTTAATAATTATACCTGTTATAAGATAGTTTGTTTTAATTTTTGCACCTTTTTAATTATAACAAGTTTAAGTTTTATGCACACAGCCTCTACATTTAACTTCGTTCATATTATAAACATCCTCACTCGCTATCAATTGATCGAATTGTGATAGCCGATATCAGTGTTTCTCAAACTGTGGGGCATGTCCCTCTGGGGGCGAGATAACCCTGCTAGGGGGGCACAAGCATATTGAAAATAAAAGATTTAAAAAAATTAATTTATTGTAATGAAGTACGAAAATACTTTCTAACATAATAAAAAAATTCACATTTACACTGATAGAATTTAGTAGTATTACTTTTCATCAAAAGTGAAAGCTTTCATTTCGATACATTAATTATCTATCTGATCCTATAACTAAATAAAAAACATAACATTTTGTTTGATTTGCTGTGATCCCACGATGAGAGATTTTTTTCCTGGGTTTTCTTTTTAAACCAAAAAACTATTTCGGAGAAAAAACACAACCCACACAGACCCATAGAAACATTTTAGGAAGATAAAAAAATTCATCTGTTTGACCTTCGAACTTACTGGTATGGCTAATTCGTTCCTTTTTTTATGTCTTTATATTTCTTTTAGGGAAGTTGTAAATAATGCGCCTATACGAAAGAGTCATATGACGTTTCGTAAAGCACAGAAAGCACTTTGAAGGATTATTTGGCCAATATTTATTTTTATGAGTATTCTGAAACATATAAAGCATGATGAAAAACGTTTTATATAATTCCGTTTTAGAATTAACATTCATAGTTTTACATTGATTATATACATATTTAAACCGGAAGTGGTCGCGCCGGGTACAAAGTCAAACTGCAAAACTTTGAACAAAATATAACAGTTTTGCTTGCAGATATCATTCCTGTAACGTTCGTGAAAAGTTTCCGTGATTTGTGTCCTTTATTAAGGTCTCGTACCTTAAAACACTTTAATTCGGTTCTATTGGA